TATGCCCAACTAATGGTGGGGAATTATATCTTCACTACAAGAAAAATGCACATAGACAACACTAGAAAGACAACAGTTTTTAAGAAAAGTGTTGTCTTTTGTATAAAAGACAACAGTTTGGTCCAAAACCGTTGTCTTTGATGCAGCACTTTTGTCAAAGACAACGGTTTTTACTTAACCGTTGTTATAAGTGTGTTGTCTTTGTGCATTTTGTGAAAAGACAACACCACAACAACAACGGTTTTTTAAAACCGTTGTCTATGTGCGTTTTTTTTTTTAAAAAGACAACGGTTTTTTTAACCGTTGTCGTTGGTGTGTTGTCTTTAAGCTCACTAGAATACACAACACTAGAAAGACAACGGTTTTTAAAACCGTTGTCTTTGTGCGTTCTTTTTTTTTTTTTTTAAAGACAACGGTTTTATTTAACCGTTGTCGTTGGTGTGTTGTCTTTAAGCGCACTAGAATACACAACACTACAAAGACAACGGTTTTTTAAAACCGTTGTCTTTGCGGATTATTATTTTATAAAAGACAACGGTTTTATTTAACCGTTATCATTTATGTGTTGTCTTTAATAGCACTTGAATACACGACACTACAATGATAACCGTTGTCGTTGCGCGTTCTTTATTTGTTTAAGACAACGGTTTTATTTAACCGTTGTTATTGGTATGTTGTCTTTAAGCGTATTTGAATACACAACACTACAAAGACAACGGTTTTTTATAACCGTTGTCTTTGCGCATCATTATTTTATAAAATGAAAACAAGGATGTTAACAACAAGAGTTGAACCTATGACCTCAAACATAACAAATAAGGTTTAACCAACTAAGCAACACAAACTTTTATGTACCAAAGTGCAACATCTGATATATAACTGGGTTGCTTCTGTGTAAACCAAGACAACAATTTTATAAAGTAAGTTAAAGATGCCTCTAGGAAGAATTAAACACAAGACTTTTAACATAATTTAACATAACAAACAAAGCTAAACCCACCAAGCCACACCAACCCTTATTTATTCAAGTGCAACATTTAAGATATAACGAGTTTGGTTCTGTGTTGTCTCTGAGAACCAAGACAACGATTGTATAAAATATAGGTTAAAATGCCACCAAGAAAGATAAAACCCAAAACCTCTAACATATCAAACAAAGCTAAACCCACGAAGGCACACTTACTTTTGATTACTAAAGTGTTACACCCTATCTTTTACCTATAATTTGGACCTTCATTGTTTTTGTTACGAGATGAAAATAGATGTTTAGAAGATCTAGAACAAAAATAAAAATGTAATTAAATTTTTTTTGTCCAAATATAATGATATACTACTACATAAATGATATACTACGTCATTTAATAGAAGACGGTTTTTTAAATAACCGACTTATGTTATATGTTGTTATACTACGGCACATAATAGATAACGGTTTTCTAAATAACCGTCTTCTATTATATACTATGTCACTTAATACACATCGATTTTTATATAACCGCCTTCTGTTATTATTTACGACGTTATATTAAATAACGTCACTATATATTTTGGTACAGACAATAATTTTTTTTTTTGTAATATTTGCTGACGAAATATAATTTTTTGGTCAGTAAAGATATAGAATCAATAAAGTTTTATAATAAACGTCCCTAAATATTTTATTTTAAAATTTAATTTTAACATAAAACGTCAAAAAAGTAAAAATATTTTACAAGAAAGATTTTTATCATTTGGCACTATTAAAAAGTAATATCTTCATAAAATAAAAAATATATCCCTAAGATGGCGCCATACCCAAATTTTGGCCTCAAAATTTTCACTAAGTGGCGCCTTCTCCCTAAACCTCCTCCCTCCTTAGTCCTTACGACTTATTCCTTCATCGGAGATTCAAGCTTATAGCCGGCAAGCATCACCTCAAACAGACGACGTTCCTCCTTTCTTCAGCCAAATTTATAGATCTGCTGGCAGCCTCTCTTCAAATCTGAGACCTTAGCCATTTCCGCCCGCCACCAATAGATCTGAAACCACAGCCGACACCGACGCCCTTCCTCCGCCGTAGCTGCCATCCGACGCCACCGCTGCCTTTCCTCCACCGACGCTGCCTCACTCGCGACCTCTACGTACCGACGCCAAACGCCACAACCATCCCCGAAGCCGCCATCCTTCACAACTGGTAAGTTTATTTATTTATTTTATATTTAATTTATTTCAATTTTTTGTTGATTTATTTCAAATATTATTGTTATTGTGATATTTTAAGAAATTTATTTTGAATTTTTGGATATATGTTTTGTACTGCATCAGTGCGTGCGCCTATGTGTTTGTATTTGAGTTTTTGGAGAAGGGATTGTCATTAGATACAAGGCCATATATTCTGTGTGTATCCTTGAATGCATGTTTTATTTATGTATGTGTATATGGTGGTGGTTTTGTTTTGTAATCTTAACTGTAGAAGTAAATTGTATTTGTTGCATACTTGTAGTGGCTACTTGTGGTTTCCAATAGATTTTTTTTAGTAAAATTTGTTAAATGCTGCAGATATATGATTGTTTTTCATATTTAATACTTTTTAGGTGGAAAACAATCCATATGACCCAAAGTTCACTCTTTAGAAGCAGAATTTCCAACCTTTCTTTAAGCAATGCCCATGTCTGATACACTTGCTTAATTCTAACCAAGTGTTCACCTCTGCTTTCAGTATTTCCACAGCAGGCATAGAAAGGCATATATCTCTTTGAGAATGTGTAAGTATTCAGTGGTAGAGTGCCAAACTTTTTCGACAGAGGTTATGGTAACAGTGTGCAATCTTTACTAGCTGTTATCAAACTCAGACCTTTGATAACTGTGCATTCCTCCTGACATCCACATTCCTGCTTTCATATTTTGTATTTCATATTAGTTCAAAAGAGTGCATATGAACTTTTAAATGAAAATTATGATCAAATGAATGACCTTGTGATCTTACTAATAAATTGCATGCCTTTTCTTTGCTCGTAATTTTGAATAGATAGAACAGAGTTACATCAACAGCATAGTTCACATTTTTGCAGAGAATTGACGGGAACAATTCTGTTGAGAAGAGCTTTATTTCTTCAAAACTAATCACATTCATTAATGTTGTGTGCTTAGCTTTCTTGTGGAACTGCAGAAAGAACTGCTTCTCTCATATTGATGCCATAACAATTCAATCTCTCCTTTTGTGTTATAGCGTTAATGTGTTTGAAGGGGAAAGGGAAGAGTGGATGATGATGACAGGAATGCACACTGTTGTTGACATCTGTTGTGTGGGCTGCTGCAGTTGGCTTGGCTGGAAATATGTGAGTTTCTCATTCGTCACGTGACACACTTGAATCACCTATTGTTACACATGCTTCTGACATGGTTTCTCCAATAGTTTGTGGTGATAAGTTTGTGTTAATAACTCTAGGAATCTGCTGAGGACAAAAGCCAGAAATACAAGGAAGGGAAATTCATCCTGGAAAGGTATGTATTGCACTGATCGATACCTTTGGAATTCTCCTTTCCTTGTGCTTATATACCATACCAGATCAAGCTCTTTCTCCCACAATATGCTAGTTTCAATGCTCAATGGAACTCAATGCCCATTCTTTTCCTTAATCACCTAAGAGATATTTCAGGCTCAACTGGATCAGAAAACTTCAAATAAGAACTTCAATGAAGTGTTATACATGTTCATCACTAGTCCAAACTATTTATACGTTAGCAACTTAAAGAATGTCAAGTGATTGTAATGTTTTATTTCCACTCGATATTTCATATTTAGGTAATTGTGCCCATGAAATCATCATGGTGAGTTCTGAATGGTGTGGGATAAATGCTTTTTTTTTTTTTTTTTTTTAAAAGGCAGTGTGCCAGAGTGGTCCAACTGAATATTTCATTAGTATTGATAACTAACATGCATAACCAGGAGAATTCCCTTAGCACACTGCTTTAGAAATGTGAAATGTGATAGTTGGATAAATCATTTTCTTTTGTTTTCTACTCAGTGTGGTCCAGCTGAATCTTTTATTAGTAGTGGTAACTAACATGCATAACCAAGAGGCATCCCTTAATAAAAATGTGATAGTTTATGATGGTGAAAAATTATCTTGATTATTACCATATGGATGGACACCGTAATTCAAGCTAAGCAGATGAATTTTATACACACATTGTTGAGAGTGTGACCATTGTTCAGAGAAGATTTACTATTATGTTTTAATGTGGCATTGCATATAGTCTATCTTCTTCTTATAAAAAAAAAAACAATAGACTATCCTTTCTAAGACTTCTACAAATTAGAAAATATGAAGTACTATTAAACACAACAATTATTGGCTGTTTACATCTCAATTAATATACTTTGTTTTAGCATAAACATTGTTTACAACATTTCTAAAAATTTTTGTTCTAGTACTGTTAATTGGATTTACCTTTTTATGGTTCCATACACTCACTCATTTGATCACAATGTTGCTTTTTGTTAGCTGAGAGATGTTTAACAAATGGCAAGCACAAAGATGGTGGGCAGATTGTCACTACCATATATGGGTGTAACATCTTGGAAGTTCAATGCTCGTTCGTGCAAATTCGAAGGAGTTGGGATAGCGTAACCGCGGCCAAGTTGGTCTGAGAGCAATGTTAAGTGTGACTGCAATGTTGGGAATATCACTGTGTGTTGTCACATTGTTGGAATGTAAGCCTTCTTGATCTTAATTCTTTGTGTAAACTAAGTTTCATGTTTATGACCATTGAGCTTGCATGTGCGATATAGTTTTAATATGGGAAGAATTACATAACTACATTGCACTAGCAGTAATGATTTTCATGTTTCAAATCAAACAATCACCTAACTTAAAATGGTTTCTTGGGGTGATGGGTGATTATATGATCTTACTGTTGAATTGTGTGCCCTACCTCAACTAAAAGCTTTAAATTGTTAGAGAATTGAGATATTTTTTGCTTTATTTATTATATTTGTTACTGAAGTTCATAAATTTCCAGGAGAGAGAGGGACAACTCTGAAGCTGAAAGAGCTCAGCATATTAAGCAACTTCATGAACTTCAGGAACATATTCAAGAGAAAGAACATCAGTTTATGGAATTGCAGGAACAGGTCAATTCATATGTACCATAATTTCTGAAAATACTTTCACTGCTTTGTAGTATGGTAACATGGAGAAACTGCATTATGGAATGCATTTGATACTTTTATAATTTAAAATATTTAAGTACTTGTGCAACATTAGCTGCTGATTAGAATTTTGCAGTTTGACAAATTGAATATTCTTCAATCTTCAGAACAGAATTGCAAAGGAAACCATTCTTTACAAAGACGAATAGATGAGGGAGGCCCATGCTTGGATGACTCGTCCTCAGGAGATCGATGCCTTGCAACAAGTTGAACAACGTGAACAAGCTGAACAATATAATCAGCTTTGGCTTGGTTGTCAGAGACAGGTTGCTTAGCATTTTTTTTAAAGTTTTATTTTGAATGACTTAGATTTTTAATGCATCAATAGGGAGTAGGTATGATTTGATCATTAGAATGTTGTGATCATTTAGATTTGGTTTGTGGAATTGTTTTTTGTAGTATTATGACTTGGATGATATATGATTCAATTTGAATTGGTCATGGAAGTATTTAGACTTGTTAATTAGTTTTTTTGTATTTTGAACCATAGCTTGTGCAAAATTATGTAACTACACTTGGCTATGGTGAATGGATAAATTGATTTTTTATACGATTAAAATTTAAGCAGGTTAAAAACGGTTAAAAACCGTTGAGACAACACCGGTTTCAACAACATTGAATAGACAACGAGTCAAAAACCGTTGTCTTTGAAACAAACGACAACAGTTTAAAACCGTTGTCTATGTTCGTGACTTTTAACAACACCGGTTTCAACAACACTTAATAGACAACGGTTAAAAAACCGTTGTCGTTTATAGAAAAAACAACGGTTAAAAACCGTTGTCTATGTGCGTGACTTTTAACAACACCGGTTTCAACAACACTTAATAGACAACGGTTAAAAAACCGTTGTCTTTTCGAGAAAAGACAACGGTTTAAAACCGTTGTCTATGTGAGTGACTTTTAACAACACCGGTTTCAACAACACTTAATAGACAACAGTTAAAAAACCGTTGTCGTTTCTAGAAAAGACAACAGTTTAAAACCGTTGTCTATGTGCGTGACTTACAACAACACCAGCTTCAACAACACTTAATAGACAACGGTTAAAAAACCGTTGTTGTTTCTAGAAAAGACAACGGTTAAAAACCGTTGTCTATGCGCGGGACTTACAACAACACCGGCTTCAACAACAGAAATTTTACCCCTACGACAACGGTTATTAACCGTTGTCTATGTGCATTTTTCTTGTAGTGCTTCATTATTTAGTTGGTCAAATAAATTATGAGTGTTATATCATTAATTTGGCTAAAGAATATCTTAATCAGTGAGAGTGATCATTTAGAAAAAGATCATTAAAATACTCTACTAAAGCTGATGGATTTAATTGATTTCATACATTCCAAATTGGATTGTGTGTCTAGCAATAAGTCCAAAAGTTTCCACAAGTATTGATTTAGTTTTTTGTTCTTATAATTCATAAGTTCATTTCATTGAACGTTTGGTTGTACAACATATTTATGAAAATGTTGTAACAATATTAATGAATTTATTAGAACGAAAGCATTTAACTTGTGGTGCATTGCCAATTAATAAATTCTTTAGCAATTAATAGAGTCTTTAGGTTCTTCAAAATTGATCCCGGCCATTTTGGTTTGTAAGGCTCAAAACAATTTTGCAAGACATATAAGTAAGACTCGTTATGTTAAATTAATTTTGAGGTGGACCTTGAGATTATTTTGGAAGTTGGTGTATGTTTAAGATTCTAAATTTATGGAGTTAGATTTTTTTGGTTTGTTGTCTAAGTTATTGGAATGTTTCTGTGACTTGACTATCTTTTGGCTATCTTAATGAGTGGAAGTGACAGACGTGTCAACTCCAAGCTCTTAGCTGTTAGAGGTAGTGCTTATGTTAACTTATAAAGAAGTCATAGAATATAGTTAACATTATGCTAACATTAAGAGATCTCTACTTAAGGCATGCTTCTAAGATTTTAGAGATCATACAGTGAATTTGGATGGTTTCTTCATTCAGTTGTGCACATAATATATTTTGAGAAACATCCATTAAGGGACTAAGAATAAACGTAGGGTTAATAAAGAACCTAAGTTAGGGAATTTAAATGCATGTGATCATAGAAGATATTACTCACTTGATTAGTAGAGGACATATTACTGTGGTTCATGTGTTTTGTTCTTTAAGGAAGGTTGTGTCAGTACGGGCCCCCCACACCCCGGCCCGACAGAGCGGCGGTGGGAGGTTGTAAATCATGGTGACTCAACTGAACATGCCCCCCACACCCGACAGAGCGGCGGTGGGAGGTTGTAAATCATGGTGACTCAACTGAACATGCCCCCCACACCCGACAGAGCGGCGGTGGGAGGTTGTAAATCATGGTGACTCAACTGAACATTAATCACAGGCCCCCCACACCCCGGCCCGACAGAGCGGTGGGAGGTTGTAAATCATGGTGACTCAACTGAACATTAATCACAAAGGCTAGACCGGTGCTCACTGCGCACAAGGAGCCCCGCTCACTTTGAGAGGTTTCTCTCACACACCCCGGCCGAGCCCCTCTCACTTTGAGAGGTTGCTCCCACACACCCCGGCCCGACAGAGCGGTGGGAGGTTGTAAATCATGGTGACTCAACTGAACATTAATCACAGAGGCTAGACCCCTCTATGACCAGTTGAGCTACCCATGCGGGCATGGTGACTCAACTGAACATTAATCACAAAGGCTAGACCGGTGCTCACTGCGCACAAGGAGCCCCCCTCACTTTGAGAGGTTGCTCCCACACTGCTGCTGGTGGGACTCGATCCCTGGTCATTCTTCCAAAGTTTCACCTCTATGACCAGTTGAGCTACCCATACGGGCAATATATTATAATATATTGTATTATTGGGTGGTTGTGGTGCAAGTAGGAGATTAAGTCAATTAGTGACTTAATCTGTTAGGTAAACTGAGGATATTCAGTTTAGCTTAAACTGAATATCTGCCTATATTGATGGCATGTAGGCTTTTAAGCAAAAGAGTCCTCCCACAGCTCCCGTGTTTAGAATACACGCACCATCAGGTATTCGAGAGAGAAGTGGTAGACAAAACACTAACCTTTATTCTACAGGTTTACCATCCCGTGGCAACACTAACAACTATGGCAAGGGATATTCAGATGATTTTGAAGCTTCCGCTACTACGAGTCAGGTTACTCGTTACTTTAGTTTATGTTAGTCAATTTATTATCTAACAGCACACGGTTGCACAACATAACGATTGCATCTTAATGGTTTGGGCCCTAGGGATGATAATTTCAATTCGGGTCGCCCTGGGAATATTCACCTTGCATGGATGCAGATTTTTTTGGGTGATAGTGAGTATTGAGTACTTTATTATACATCTATATATTTATTTTATTTTTAAAATATGTATATGCTATAACTAATAGATTTTGTTTTTATAATTTTTATTTGTGTGTGTGCATACTCACCACTTCATATTTCATATTTTATACTAAGGACCTTGTGGTCCACTGGTATCTGGTTGCTCCCAGAGGTCTAGGGTTGGAGCCTTACTGTAGCCGTTGATTGTATATGTGTGTATTCCCTAATACCAGATCAAAGCGCGTCTGGGAGTGCGCACGTCGGGCACTCTGACTTTTGGCTCTGCTTTTATTATTATTATTATTATTATTATTATTATTATTATTATTATTATTTTATAAAATGTCATATTATAATTTAAGAATTAGTTTTGTTTTTTTTTTCTTCTCTCCCCTATTGTTTTTTTATCTTCTCTCCCCTATTTTCTTTCCTAATCACACTTACAAAAATTCCTTAAAAACCACAAAAAAAATACTCCACTATTATGGATGTTCTTCCCTAATACGATCAAAATGCATAAAAGTGCGTTTGGGAGTGCACACGTCGGGCAGTCTGACTTTTGGCTCTGCTTTTTTTATTATTATTATTATTTTTATTATTATTATTATTATTATTATTATTATTATTTTATAAAATGTCATATTATAATTTAAGAATTAGTTTTGTTTTTTTTTCTTCTCTCCCCTATTGTTTTTTTCTTCTCTCCCCTATTTTCTTTTCTAATCACACTTAATTTTAAATTTTTTCACAACTTTTTGTGGACCCACCATTTTACCTCATATATTTTAATTATATTTTTTTTTATCTATTATCATTTTAAAAATTATAATTATAAATTTGATAACAATATTATTATAATTAAAATTTAATTAATAAATTAATAAATATAAATTTAATAACAATAATATCTTAAAAATTTAAATAACATTATATTAATAATTTAAAAAAATAAAAACAAAAATGTTACAAAGTTAAATTAAAAAATAAAAAATAAAGTAAAAAAAAAAAAAAAAAAAGAAGCTGGCCGTTGCAAATGCAACGGCCAGCATGATTTTATAATTGAATTAAAATCTCTCTACATCATTTTCTTCATTTGTTCTTACGGCCTCACCAAATGCGTGATGTCACACTCTACCAATCTGCTTGAGTCCTAAGTCCTTGTTTTTCCCTCATAGTTACAAACAACATAGATATGAGGTATTGAATACATTAATGCATATCTATTTTTTTATTTTTGAAGTAATGCAGATCTATTTTATTTTATCTTATAAATAAATTATGTAGTACTGCTCTTTCTTGGTTGAAGGGTGAACGATGGCGAAAAATTTGTTTCCTTTCGGACTGTCAACAAGTTTGCCATAGCTTTAATAACCCTTCGCATGACCGTACTTGTAGTATGTCAATACTATAGTTAGAGATAGTCTTTTTATTGCCACTAGTTTTCAGGCTTTTGTCATAAAACATATTAATAGATCAGTGAATGTGCTTGCTCATCCCTTGTCCGGGCTGTACATTTAGACTCTGGTTTTCGTAGTTAGTTTGATGTTCCTCCCCATTGTATCCTTCACTTGATTAATTGAATCTGGTTCTTTCAAAAAAAATTATGTAGTACTGAATTTTTATTTTATTTAATATTTTGCATTTGTATCAATGAATAAATGTTTTGCCATATCTGCATCGTATAATTTACAAATGGTGGCACCAACATAATTTTTATACATATGCCATATACGTATTGTATGCCAATGTGAGTTGTCGTTAGTTTTTGCCATATATGAATATATTAGTTTTTTTACGCGCTTTGCGCGAATGGGATAATGCCCAATAATTATTTTTAAATACGTATTTTAAAATATATCAATGCAATATTATATAGGAGATGTTCATGCATAGGTAAATAAATGTTGAATTTGTTTATTTAAATTTGTAATTTAAAGTATATAAATGCAATATAATATATTAGAGATTGATTATAATTGTCACTAAAATAAATGTTTGCAACTTTGTAATAACGCTAGTCTAAATACTTAGTTTTAAAGCGATAGTCTAAATAAATGTTACTTTTGATTTAAATTTCTCTAACTCTTCTTAGTTCTCTTTTGGGTAGCGTTGTCATTGTTTTCATCTTCAGTACATGTCCTTTTTTAAAAAAAAAATATTTTTATTAGTAGTGTATCATGTGCAATTAGGTAACTAGTGGCAGCATAGAGAGATTCATCATACAATGAGATTATTGTGTAAGAAGCTTTAGATTTGCCTTGTTGTGTATATGACTAAAATTTTAGTTGTAATATGAATTTTTTATCTTACAAACACTTATAGATATTTAGTAGTGGTAGTTTTTTCCCTATATGTTTCATGTGTTGTGAGATATGTGTCGTAGGTTATCATGTGAAAGTATTAAACAAAATATTAATATTTATTATATTTGGATAAAAACTTGGTAAATAAATATATATAACATGCTTTGTATTATAACTTTGATATTTAATTACGGAGTACAAGATAATCTAAAAGGAAGACAATGAACAATGTAGTGAATATAATAAATTAATAAATTTGAAGGTAAGAAATCTTTAAATTGTAGAAAATAAAGATAATATAACTAATGAAATTATATTTTTAAATTTTTTTTTTATAATGAATGATTTTTTTTTTAAAATAAGGCATTATAGACATCTAATTCTAAATTAATTAAATGCATATGTATTATTTTTTGTTGTAGCTACTAATTTATTTAATTTAATAAGAATAATAAAGTGTCGTACATAATTTTCTTCAACAATAATGAAATCAATGTTTTTTTTTGAAATTTCAATTCCTTGTTGAGACAAATTGTTTTGAGAGTTTATCCATGACAATTGCTACAATTGCTGTCAATAGAGGATGATAATAAATAATTCAAAATATATGGTTACAATAGATATTAATATAATGATATAGTAAAAATTAACTTACAAATTTCTTTAGAAGTTTTCATGCATTGATAAAATTTTGATGTGTAAACTTGTTCAATTGGAGCTAGTAGGATGTTAACATTGTCAATTATTTGGAAAATGATCCTACTGTTTTAGAGTCCATGTGTAATTATATTTAGAGAAAATTTCAATTTTGGTCCACTGACTATTGAGGTTGTGTTAATTGTAACACTTGACTTTCAAAAATGTTAATTTAGTACTTTGACTATGCAATTCTTATCAATTTTGGTCACGCCGGCCAAATTACCGGTCAAATGTGACCGGAAAATTTTAATTCATTAAATACAAGGGGCAAAAATGTCATTTCAGGTTATTCTAATCTTTGTTGTTGAAGCACGCATGAAGCCGGCCGCCGATGATGCAGACGCATGAAGCCGCCGACGAGCAACGAATAACAAATGTCAGTGCTTGAAAGAAAGAGGGGAAAATACTGACTCGAGTTACGTTCTTGGCGAAGTGCATCAAAAAGCTCTCTTTTGGTCTGCTTCTCGGCCCCATGAGTGTTCAGAACCTTGCTCTGTTCCACCATTTTTATGGTTGTATTCTTCAACTCTTCCTTAATCAGATTAACAGAATAGTATTATCATCAACAAATTATAAAATAATCATAATACTCCCCACTAACGATTGAAAAAACAAGAATGAAAATAGTCATTTCCTTGCGATAACATATGTGAAGCAGCAAAGCATAAAAAACCACAAACTAAAGAATTGAGAACGTTGAGAAAAAAAGGAGATTACATTGGCTTTGAGCTGAGTGATGATTTTCATCCGGATAGTGTCGATTGTACCTTCGTTTATCAGGGTCCCCAACACATCTTCGGGAGTAATCACCAAAGAAGAAGATGAAGATGACGATTCCATTACCCAAATCCCAGATAATCGACTTTAGGAGTATGTATATATCTCGGATTCTCAGATGTGAAAAGGCAAATTCGTATACTCGCATGTGAAAGAAGCAAAAGAGGGAACAGAAAATCTCACAGCTCCATGGCTTTTATAGAACCTCTGACGGCCAGTGTTCTGGGGCACGCCGGCGGTGACGCCGTCAGGGGCGGCACTGTTAAGAAAACCAACAACGTCCGTCGTCCTCGGGTTTCAGCTATCGCCTTGTTAATGGCTTTGCAAACTCCAACAACGCATCCAAACATGGCGGGGGGAGAATGCCGGGGCATGCTGAATTCCAGTTGGAGATGAAGGTGCGAAGGTGAAGGTGAACACTTTTGCAAATTTTTAATTTAAAAAAAAAAACTTGAAATGACGTTTTTGTCCCTTTTTATTTAATAAGTTTAAACTTTCCGGTCACATTTGGCCGGTAATTTGGCCGGCTTGACCAAAATTGATAAGAATTGCATAGTCAAGGTACTAAATTAACTTTTTTGAAAGTCAAGTGTTGCAATTAACACAACATCAATAGTCGGTGGACCAAAATTGAAATTTTCTCTTATATTTATGATCAACAACTTTGTAGTTAGGCCTCGCAGGTCTGACTATGTAAGAACAATTTTGTCCGATAAAAAAAATAATAGTATAATATTTGTAAAGTAATGTACAATTGTACCATTATAAAAAAAAAATTAGTTTTTTACACGCATTGCGCGATTGGGATAATGCCCGATGTTTTTTTTTTTTTTTAAATAAGTACTTTAAAGTATATCAAGGCAAGATTATATTGGAATTGTTCATGCATACATAATTAAATGTTAAATTTGCGTATTTAAATATGCAATTCAAAGTTTACAAATGCAAGATAATATAGTCAATATTGATTATAATTGTTAATAAAATAATTGTATAGGTATGGTTGAAACCAAATACGAGGCATAAGGGCAAATTATGCTGTGCATCCGTATGCACCATGCATGGTGCATACGGATGCAAAAACGACGTCGTTTTAATAAAACGCGCGTCTCCCCTTAAAAAAAAAATCAGGTTCGATTCCCAGCAACAACATATGAACTAAAATTCCATAATCGATGAACTATAATTCCATAATCGATGAACTATAATTCCATAATCTAATCGATGAACTAAAAATTCCAGAATGAATGAACTAAAATTCCATAATCTATAAACTAAAATTTTAGAATCGATGAACTACAATTCCATAATCGATGAACTATAATTCCATAATCAATGAACTATAATTCCATAATCTATGAACTAAAATTCCTGAATGAATGAACAATATAATGTTGTTGCTGGGAATTGAACCTGAATTTTTTTTAAAGGGGAGACGCGCGTTTTTTAATAAAACGACGTCGTTTTGGCATCCGTATGCACCATGCATGGTGCATACGGATGCACAGCATAACGATTGAGACATAAGGGAGATCAAATAAAAATAGGGGTGTCAATGCAGGCTGGCCCGTCCCATTAGGTCCGCCCCAAGGCGGACTTTTTATTTGGCGGGCTTTTGCGGGCCGGCCCGCGAAACCCACGGGCTTAGAACTACAGAGCCCAAGTCCGCCCATGCGGGCTTGTGGGTTGGCCTGCGGGCCACCACTTAAATTTTAAAAAATAATAATAAATAGTGCATAAACTGATAAACATGTTAAAACTGTTGGCTGGCTCGCGAGCATTTTTTTTAGGGTTTAAAAATTTTAATATTAATCTCATATATATATATAGCAGAATTCTGCCTTGCTGTGTAACGTATATTTATTATTTTTAAATTTTTTTTTTTTGTAATAGATCTAACTCGCAGGCCGGCAATTTTGGCCCGCCCCATTAGGCCCGCATTTTCATGGGCCTATTTTTTTATGACCCTAACCCGCCTCACCGCGGGGCGGGTGCGGGCCAACCCGCGGGCTTCGACCCACTTTGACAGTACTAAATAAAAATTAGGGCATAAAATATTAAATATATACTAATATTGAAGAGTTAACCGTTAATTGCCAAACAAGAACATTGCTAGATAGTTTCCCACTTCAATTTTGTTGTGTGATTTGAATACTTGTCAATAAATCTTCATGATTGGCTTAATTTTATATATATATATATATATATATATATATATATATATATATATATATATATATATATATATATACACACACACACCCTTAGGTCATTTTATATGTTAATCTAAACAGCTAATTTTTTCAAATATCTTTTTACTAACTGTTGATATAATTGTTAGTCAAATTCACTAATATAATCCGCTAACTGCTGATTGTTAAACAAGGACATTACGAGGTAGTTCTCACTTCAATTTGTTGTGTGATTTGAGTGCTCTCTTTGTCAACAAATCACTCAAGTAGTTAATATGATTGGCTTTGTTAATTATTTTTTTTTTTAATTTTTTCTTGGTATTAATAAAATACTTGGTAAATAAATATATAGCATTATTTTGTATTATAACTTTGATATTTAATTAAAAAATAGTGCACAAAAAAGATAATAGACAATGTAGTGAATATAATCAATTCATGAATTTGAATGTAAAGAATTTTTACATTGGAGAAATATAAAGACAATATAACTAATAAAATTATTTCTCTTAATTAATTTATTGATAATGAATAATTTTTTTTTTTAATAAAGACGTTGTAGGGACAATGTAGCCAATATAATCAATTGATGAATTCTAATGTAAAGAATTTTTATATTGGTGAAAAATAAATACAATATATCTAATAGAATTATTTCTCTTATTTAATTTATTGATAATGAATAATTTTTTTTGAATAAAGACATTGTAGACACATAATTCTAAATTAAAGAAATGCATATGTGTTATTTTTTGTTGTAGCTACTAAATTATTATTTAATTTAATAAGAGTAAAATAGAATACTAATTATGCCAACTTTGATTGGGATGAGGTTCGAACCTAAAACCTTTTTTTTTTTTATTGAAATCAATGAGTAAGTTAACAATGAACTAACAGAAATTTACGAAAAATAATATTTAACGGAAAAGTTAACGGATAATCATATTCATTAAGGATAAGTTAGGAAATCTTAAGTAAAAATTAAAATCTGATCAATCTGAGCCATTCATTTGATTAAAAAATTTGACCGCCATTTTTTCTACCCATTATAGGCCTAACTCTCATGGGCTCTTATTAGTATAGTAGATATAGTAGATACAAAAAAATATTAATACCATAATGACTTAAATCATTCCAATAATGCAAAAACATAATTAAAATATTAAGTTTTGTTCTAAATAATCAAAAGAAGATTAATTAAGCATAAAAAAATAACTTAACCTAAATTTGTTTTTTTTTTAATAAAAAATTCAAGAAAAATCAAATGATTTTAAAGTAGTTCCTGATTTATAATTTTAGATGTTCAACATTGAATGCTATATATTTAGTCGGACTAATTATTTGACCAAAGTTTATGTTAAATTTTATATTATATATAGGCCTGAGCATCGGACGGATCAGATTGATATTCCGACCATTCGATCGGATTTCGGATTGCTATTTTGGAATCCTATCCGTTTTTTTTTGTAACTAAAACCCTATCGGATATGCAATGTCGGATTTCGGATTGATCGGATCGGATTGTCAGACTTAAGTCGGATTTGGAAAAGGTCATTAATAAATAATAATAGAAAATTTAAAACTGAAACAAGTAATAACTAATAAGTAAACAAAATATTACATGCTACAACAATTTAATGCACAGTTTGCACTTTGCAGAGCTAAATAATTTAAGTAAACCAAAAATACAAACTTAATCCAAGTTGAAGTTATAAATTCCAAAACATCAAAAATTCGACTCATTCAAATCAACAATCATTCAAATCAGCAAATCAGCTTACATCAATCACCATTTCTACACTTCTTCCTGTTCATATGAAAGCTTAACACAGTATTAGATTATTAGACATTTAGACAACATATGTAGTAAACAGCTAACTAAGTAACAATAGTAGGCTCATATTGCAATTTTCCATTTCAAGTAAGGATAGTGGCAAATTGCTCAAATGTGTTATAATAACACATGAGCAACATAGCAACACTATACCATTTTTCCAGACAGTGGTGGAAGCATCATCATTGCCAAAAAAATAAGTAATAAATAATAATGCATCAACAGAGATCAATTCAGATTTCAGAGGGTGAGAGGAATACCAGAGATCCAGAATGGATATAATGGGAGTAAGGGATACCAGTACAGATTACTGAATACTGCTCATTGCTCAACTCTAAGTGGGGTAACATTTCTATAATATAATTATAGAAAGTTTCCAAGCCACTCAGACTGTTAAGACTCGTACAGTTTCATCTTGTGTAGACCAACAGCAAACAACAGTACAACACCAGTAAAGATAAATAATTAGTAAAACAAATAATCATTATGGAAAACATTACAGGAATGGATGGCAGCATTGATGGTACAGTAGTTGCAGCTCCAGTGGGTAACTCTGCAAAACAGTTAAGTAAATATGTAATTAGTTCTAGACTATCAAGTTACAAAAGTAAAAAAGAAACTATTATTTAATGGATATTTTTACCTTTCTCCAATCTTTCAACCTCATCTAAATTTTCCTCAAGTGTGATTGGCTGATTATGTAACCTCAACCAATCTTGGGTACACAGTAGGGCTTCCACAATTTTAGGAGTCAAGGAACTCCTAAATGCATCAAGCACCCTCCCACTTGTACTAAATGCACTCTCAGATGCCACTGTGTAAATAGGAACTGCAAGTACATCTCTAGCCATTTTGGATAGAATAGGAAATCTCTCACTATGATTCTTCCACCACTTTAGAACATCAAAACTCACAGATTCATCATCCTCAACCAGATTTTCACTCAAGTAAATTT